TCTGGGATACCGCAGTCCCATGTGGATCAGAAAACAGCCACAATGTAGTACAACTAAACCCTGATGAAAATAAATATTATCTTCTCACTCCATATCCCACATTAATGCAATCACTCAAAAAATTTTCACCAGAAAGCATTCGCGCTATTGCTCGAAACCCAAATATAGACTTACAATCAATAGGAATCTATTCAAAATCAGATATTCAACATCACATTAGAACACAACAATTCCAAGAATTATTAACACAAATGGACACTATACAAAGACAATCAATAGACCAAAATTTACGCAAACTTGCAGAAACCGCAGGATTTGCCGATATCTACACGCAAGACTATAGCGGATATTTTAAAGACATTAAAGATTATCTAAACGGTGAAAAATACCGTCCTCAAGATATATCACCAATTAACATTTTTAGCTTTGTTACACTCAAAAATGAGATCCTCGATTTTCTAGGATGGCCCTACTACATCTTAGAAAAATTGACTATTTTATACGCAATGTTTAACTTTATTGGATTTCTTTTCTCACTTTTAAAAGGAATCTACAACACATGTGCTATACACACACAAGTAAACAGACAAGCAAGTGTAGCACGCATACTCTTTGCAGGATTTTTTGGAATCTTTTCTACATCTATAAACAAAATTCTTTTAGACGCACAAATAAAAGAATATAACACAAAAATAACAACACGACAAAATACATACGACGAAGAACATAACAATGTAGACATAACGCCAACGGCACCACAATTACCACCCCTACCAAATAACCATCCACTATCCCTAGTCCCACGAAATTTTCGAAACTTAGCCATCACACATAATCCAAATTTTCGACTCACCACATCACAAAGTTCCATCCAACATATAATGACACACCAGTCACAAGATGATAATACTTATGAACAAATTATTGAACAACCCCATACCACCGCTTTTCAGTCTCAAAATAATCATTTTTTTAGCCCACGATGAGCCGCCAACTTGGATCACTACACCGATCAAATTCCCACCCAACCAATCTTACCTCCCCAATCCCAATAATACCACTTTTTGCTTTTCCGCCACCCGATTTTCCATCTAGTAACGTAACATCAGGCATGAATTCCGACACTAATTCACACATCTCAGTTTTATATTCCATCTCACAACTCAATAACCCGACTATTGAAACCCCCGATGAATTTGCCGACTCAGAACCATCCCCATCCAATAATTTTCATAACTCTTCTAATTTTTCTCAACCCCCTTTTCAACCCATATTATCCAATAACCCTGACCCAATCACTCCCACACCCTCTTATGCTTCCCAAGTTACCCCAACCTACTCCTCATACCATTCTGACCAATCATCTCATTCTCCAGACACCCCCCGAATCTCCCCAGAGCTAGATAATTTTATTACCCTTCAACAACAACCCTACCACCTTAACACCCCAACCATAAACCAAATCTCCTCCACAATAAATTCATCCAACCCCCCTACCCCTACACCCTCTTCAAATTATACTGAATCATTAGCAACATCATCCACATCAACTGAATCTTCACTCACCACTAATAGAGCTTACCGCACTTTTAAAAGAAAGTTTCCCAACCATCCTTTCCCAGCAAAACCAGGAACAGCCCGTGAATACATCAACCACCCCAAGCATACTAACACAAAAGAATTTTTAGCCATCACCTTACCCTCATTCCCACAATACACCTTAAACACCCCCCACGACACTAACGAAACACGCAACTTCGTAGATGAATACGTTTTAATGCCCACTCTCTCTTGGACCTCATATTATCATTTCACTAACCCTCTTTGCTTACCTTTATCTAACACTCACATCGATATAGAGCGAAATACGGACATGCTATATCGACTCACTACACCACTAACACCTAGACAATTTACTTACGTTGGATATAAAAAATCACTAAAAACACACACTGCACCTAGAGCTAATGAATATACACTCGAATACTATGATCACAACATCATCAGAGCTAACCAAGATCAATTCTTAGACGACGATCGCTTCGCTAATCCACAAATTACCGAGAAATTTTTCATCAAGACACCATATACATTCACACTAAACATCTTCGACCGAAAGTTTGATCACATTATTTCAGAAGCACTAACAGACACACAAGCATACGAAAGTTTTAAAGAACGCTTCCAAATATTTTCACTAACCTTTCATTTCCTTGCACCACACGAAAGAGATTTACACTGCTCACACGATATTATGTTGCGCACTAAACAAACCCACACATATAGTTATTATCGCTTCATCCAAAATCACTTTGACCTACACACACCCTCTAGACAACCACACCATCGTTTTCAATTCATTAATTCCAAATACACTTCACCATTTTTCCTAAATTTCACATATTGTATTAAAGACACTAACCTCCATGGTATTCTTCGTAATTATGACCCCATAACCCAAATGTACATCTTCTGTCCCATCACCAAGACCTTCAACGCCGAAGAATCCCGACCCTTCCTTATCCCGCACGAGTTTGTACAACCTATAGAAATCCCAATTTTAGAATTCATCCACAACACTAAATTCAATCACAAATTATATAATCTAATCCAAAACACACCTTATGAGTTTGCAGTTGGCACTGAAGAACTAACCACTATTAAGGCACTTCAATTGCTTTGGCCACTGCTTCAGACTAAAAATATCATCCGCATCTTAGCTAAACTACTAACAACTTCAGAACTAATTCACGACATCTTCCCCCACGGTTTTTTCCCCGACGACTAACAGGTAAGTATGAATTAAATGAATATTACTAACTAATTAAAATATTAAAAAACTCACCATACTTTATCCATGTTTTCTTTAGATTTTTAGCCTTCATCCGACGATCACCTACAAAAACCACAAAAGACAAATAAAAATCGCAAATTTCATCAAACAGATTTCAAAAATTCTATTAATCTCTTACACTTATAAATTTATAAATTTAATACCAATGCAGTAAATTCATTTCTAAAATTTTCCCCCACAAGCAGTAAATCTAATTATGATGAAAATTTGTATCTTAATATTCCCCCATGACTAGCAGTAAATTTCTAAATTCTATGTAGTAAATTAAATAAATGCAAATGCAGTACTAACCTTTTGATATTTTCATTCATTCGCACAGAAATTCTATCCACACTCGCACAGCTCGCCCACGAAGAATTGTTTAAAATAATGAATTTCAGTTTCAAGTTTTCACACTCAACAACTCTAACATATAATAACATGTTTCAAACTTTCCTTTAACCCGGTTGGAAAGGAATCATATACTAAACAAAACTAACCAACGCAGCTTACTAAATACCACAAATCATAGAATAACAGCATGACTTAGAAAAGGAAACCAACGGTACCCAAACCGGATTAACCCAGTTTAAAACTGGATAATTTATTCTTTTGAAGACTATTATAAAGTCTAAGAAAGAAATAATAAAACACAAAAAAGTCGAAAGACAAACCCATACCACAAACAAATTGATTTTTGAAAAAAGGACACAACCAACAAAACATAAGTAAGACCACAACAAACCCAACATAAAACGTTGTCACATAACAGGACCCCTCACAAAAACCGCATGAAATCATACTCCCACTCCTGGCCTAACCCACCAGGAAGGACGTCCTGAGCATGCTCTATAGCCGGCCTAACCCACCGTGCTACACCCACGCTTTGTGACCACACCTTTATTTTTAATAAGAGCTACTCAAGTGTGAGTAACTCTTCAAAATAACCGAACTAAAACAAAAAGCTTTTGTGAAAACAACTAACTAAAATCATTATTAAAAAATATTAAACTAATAAAAGTTTTATAAAATGTAAAATCACATGATGCAATATATAGATCAGAATACAACACCAAGGACGAACATCAAAAGACAAGACGACCCCACTACACTCGAGAGAGAATGACCAACTACAATCGATATGCCGCTCACAATCACAACTCAAAGGATTTAGAGTACGACTTGACCTCGCAGAAAAGGACTTCATTGAACTAGACCAATGACCACCTCGATGTTCAAGTATACGTACAGATCCGAGTAACCAGGCATCCCCTCCACGCACAATCTCCACGCCATTCCCAAACTAGACCAGACACAAAAGAAGTTCTCCACGCAGAACAGAAAAACCTGACATAGCAAACCATTCTGAAATCAGATTTGAGTTTGTTGCGAAGACTTAGTCGTTGTCACTAGAAGACACAACGTCTTATGTCTCTAACTCCAGCTTCCTGGAACTTCTTTAACAAAAAGGAAACAGAAGAAATAAGATGTTCGCCAAACACCAACTTCCATCATCCATCCTTCGAATTGCAAAAGAACTATTCTAAAAAACTCTGTAAAACCCGGATGGGTGGAACCTGATCTAAACTACATTTTATGATTGGATAAATTAAATGTTTTACCAATGTAAAGTATTTAATATTAACCAATCATGATCCATCTAACTAACAACCCACTTATTTGTAAGTGCTGAAGTTAATTGTAATTTCAGCACCAGAGAGATTTGAATTTAACTTAGAAATTAGTTGGACTCTCCCGAGCACTTCAGCAGCCGCAATAAACCAGTATACCCTAGATCTATTGAGCCTAGCAGAGACTAGTTAAACAACCTGAGACTAGATAGTATAAGAGTAAGATTAGGATCGGTATTAGACTAAGAAGTTGCACGAATCTATCCGGCCGAAAATAAGATAGCGTGACGAGCAGACGGTGTACCCTATCCGAAATTACTCTATGAGTTACACTTCGGTCCTAACTCAACAGAGATTTATCTCAGAAAATCAGCATATACATTTTCTGAGAAGATGTTATTCGCCAGAGGTGAGAAAATCAATTTAGCTAGCTGCCAATTTAGCTAGAGGAGGACATGACGGCAAATTTTGTTCAAAGGTGTCTAAAAAATGAACCTTTAGAAATGAACAGAAAAATCAATATACAAACTCCCAAACGAAGCCAAGCTGATTCCGACTATCAAAACCGCTTTGTTTTTTCTGAGGTTGTCCATGCAGATTGCCATTCCAAAGACAATGGTCGCACCCAGCATTGATAGCAAAGCCAGAGAGTGGAAAGCTACCATGCATTTTCCTCTAGCATCTACAAAACGAAATAGAACCCTGTTGTATCAAGTTGTGATATGTCAATGTTAGATAACCGATTTGAAAAAAAAAATTTATTTAGTAGTAAACAAAACGCAGTTTCTGTATTTAATTTGCATACCACTGAAAATAATTACTTATGAAAAAATTTCATTCGCATGCAATTATTATTTTGCAAATCTTTTTTCTGGATTCTGCGAACTTTACTACTCGAGAATTGCCATGATTTTTCCATGTGTTTTTCATTTTTACAGCAGTAAATACATTTAAAAAATTAAGTCTTCATGCGAATTCCACGAAATATCTTGTTCAGCTTTGTGTAAAAAAGTTAGCCTTCAAGCGAATTCCACGTGATATCTTGTCCAGCCTTCGATACAAGCAGATAATTTGAAAATAAACACTTTGACCTCGTAATTAACATACAAACATCCATTGTTTCAAAAATTTTGACATTTTTTTGCAGTTGAAAGATTTTATGATAACATCGCGCTTCTTCTACCTGCATTTTTCGAAGGTTTTTGAACTATTATTCTTGCATTAAAATTCCTGACGAGCTTTTTTTTAGAATTCTCAAAGAAAAACTTACAAGTATTTTTGTTTGGTTTGCCCTTCATTTGATTTGCTATTCGAAATCACACAAAAATGATCTGGATTGGATGGGCTGATTTTGATTGGAAATCAGATGAACTTACACTTCCCATATTTTAACTTTTGAGTGAGAATTTTCATTTGGTTTAAGTGAAACTAATTTAATTTAGTTTTTTGTTTTTTCCTAGTCAAACTTTGAAGATCAACCACTGAGTTACCAATTAGTCTCTTGAAGAACCGGGATAAAAAGTTTCAGCGATTGTTCATTTCAAAAAAAATGTAAGCACCAAAAAAAAACATCAACTTTACGCCGGGCCCTTAGAGTTTTCAGAGCCGCCAGATTTGCATTTTTTTCAATTCACTGTCCTCTTCCGGCAAAAGACTGATAAAAACTCAAAAAATGGTTTATGAAAATGGTTAAAAAACGATGTTTTCAATCTTTAAAACTAAACTGTTACAAAAATTTCATTTCAAATTTT